TAGCTGTTTAAAAATACGTATTTCATCCAAATACCCTTTAAAAAATCCTAATGCATGTGTTCAGAGAAATGACCAACACCCATACAGAAGCTTTCTGCTTTATTTAAGACCAATCCTGTCGCACCCGTTCTCCTGGAACAGAGCCAATGTCTACTGGTCCATCAGGAAGAACTCGGTATTTCCAGAGGGTGGCCGGGGAGGCACCTGCCTCTGAGCAACTCTCCCCTCTTTTCTGCCTAAACAACCAAGTACAAGGCTAAAGGCAAGGCCAGTGAGGCCCCCGAACCTTGGGTGCAAAATTTAAGAGGGCACCAAAAACACTCAATACAAATAATTTTAATATTTTAATGTAATTTTTAAATCAAAGTTAATCCGAAGAATCCATGATGAACAAAATACCGAATTTTTAAATAGACAGGAAAAATGGCTCTGCACAGCTCTGCTCCTGACCTTGTCTTCACTTAAAATACTGGTATTATGTTCATCATGGATTTCTTTTTTAATTTTCCTAAAATACTGCATTGACATATTTATCTTTTTAAAAAAATTTTAATGGATTTACTGGGGATTGAACCCAGGACCTCGTGCATGCTAAGCATGTGTTCTACCACTGAGCTAGACCCTCCCCCCCCATAACATTTACCTTGACTGAAGGGCTTTTCGGTGCCCCTCTAAATTTTATACGCGAGGCAAAACCTCACCCTCCTCACCCTAGTCTCAGTTCTGCCATCTGTCCCCATGCCCTGGCTTGGGGTTCTCACGGTCTCCTCTGGGAACAGTGTTTTTGCCTAGGGAACCTGGGAACAGTCACCTCCTCCTCCTGTTCTCCTCTTCCTGCCACTGAGCATTCCAGCAATCACAAGGCTCCCCACCAGCCCCCGCGGCCATTTCTGGGAAGGGCCCGTTCAGACATGGTGGCAATGTGGCATCCCGCCCAAAGCAAGATGCCAGGCAGCCGATGACAGACCGAACAGGCAGGCAGAGAGGAAGAAGGAGGGAGGATAAGTACTCTGTTCAACAAGCAGCCAACGCCTGGCAAGTCCAGGAGAAGTAGATTCGTATCAGGGACAAAGTGTACGGACGTACATTGTGTAAAAGGTACAAAGGTACAAAGACGCTTGCTCATGGTCTATTGTATATTAACGGCCTAACCGTAGTTGATAATTATGACAACAATAACCAGAAGCCTAACAGTGCCAAAACAGCGCCTACCTGAAAGGTGTTTACAGAATGTTAAAGGCGTAAAAGTAATACAAATAAAACAATTCAAAAACCACAAATTGGAGTGGCAAACAGAATATGATTAAGCCTGTAATAACCTACAATGGAAAAGAATCTGTATAACTGAATCACTTTGCTGTACACCTGAAACTAACACAGCATTGTAAATCAACTATACTTCAACTAAAAAAAAAAGAATATGATTAAGCCCTCTCATGCTGAGACAATACATCACAAGTAAAATCCATGGGTGGAAAAGCTCAGTGAATTAACTGCTCCTATAGGTCTACTTCAAAGTATCTTCAAACAGACTGCCCAAGTAATGACAGACATCTGATCACGTCACTCTTGATCTCGGTTCCTTGTTGTTTTCAAGACATAATTCAACCCCCCCAGTTTAGCACATAGGTCTTATTGGATCCATCCCCTGCTACCTGGCACTGGAACCTCTTACTCCAGCTCAAGCTAAATCAAACTGTGGACAAGGTGCTGTACTATGTACAGTCAGAAACCACTGAGGAGGGTCCACCTGCGTTCACAAAGGTTTGCCCCACACCAGATTATGTGATGAGCAGCGTGAAACTGAGGATGGGAGACAAGCCCATAGGCAGCAATTGTATAAGGCAAGATAGAACTACAACAGAGTTCATTATAAACATTCTTTATTTTATTTTTAATGCTTTGCTCTGACCTCTCAAGATCTCCAACTAGAACAGGACCCAACAAAACCCAATAAAACTCGGGTGCTAAACCGTGCCTTAAATAGCAAAGAGTCTTTCACGCTTTTTAATAAACACTATTTTGAAAATCTACTTACGGGCAAAAATGCAATATCTGATTACTGATAATGCTTGATGCATAACTGCCCAATTCCGAAAAGATTCTAAGAGGATTCTGATACTAATCAAGAATTTTGTTGAGCTACCAGGAAAAATAAACTGTCCCAGAAAAGGGGGTTATGGAGTTCTCCACAGTTAGCTTTGGGACGTCCAAGATGACCTTGAGATTTTTATATTCAGAAGCTAATAAAGTTAGTAATTACAAGTTCTGCTTTTTTTTAGGAGCCTGTAGGTGGCAGCAAATTATCAATATTAAATTTAAAGGTGAGGTTTGTTTCAGGATAATCAACTGGGGGGAAAAATGGGAAATAAAGGACACGAAGGAAGAACAGAATGACAGAAATCAAAATCACCTACAAAACGTAATAGTCATGACTTTGGAAAATTATTAATAACCATAGTCACCACCACAAAGTGCATTCAATTTATATCCAAATCTGAGCTGAGTGGTCCAAATACATTACATCATTTAGAGGCAACACTTCTGGGAGATGGGGACCACCATCATCATTTACAGATGAGGAAACTGACGCTTACAGAAGTTAAGCAACTTGCCCATGGTACCATACCTGAAAAAGTGGTAGCGTTAGGGTTTTAAACCTGAATATTTTTTATTTGAATGTATATGCTTCAAATTATTGATTTTATAAAGCACAAAAAAAGACAAGAATAGAGGTCTAAAGATTAGACCTGGGAGGTATCCAAAAACAATAATAAGTAAGACTATAAAAACAGTAGACTAGATCAAAAGCAGTCTTTTCATCATTTCCAACTGTACAGTTTCCCCAAACCGGAGAATCCAAATTTTGCCTTGTATGTTTTTCTAGGTTTTATCTCACTTCTCATAAGTCCAGTAAAAGTACAGTATTGATTGCAGAGGTAGAATCTGGCATTTGGGAGAAAAGACATTCATTTCTCATTCATAACATGAAAGTTGGGAAATAGAAATGTTTTAAAGTGCAGATTACTAAAAACTATAAATAATGCAAAAAAATCATTCATTTTTATGTTCCTCCTCAGAGTCTGACAGAAATCAATTGTTAAAGGACAGAGAAGGGTGAGAAAAAAAATGATCTATTTATTGAGATCTAATACACCAGCCACTGTAAGGGAAGTTTTACACATTTACACGTTACCTTAAAAAAAAAAAAAGAAAAAGAAAAAATAGAACCTTATAACCAACCCCCAACAAGAAAAGTAGTATTTGTAGTGTTGCTTTCCATTAGGAAATTGAGGCCCTCTGAGGTTTGGTAATTTGCCCAGAGCCACAGAGATGAATACACAGGTCTTTATGACTCTAAACTCATGCTCCTTCACACATGCTTTTCTTAGAGAAATTCCAAAGAGCAGGAAGGACAAAGAGCAAGTCAGAAGGGGAGCTGGAATCAGAGAGCCGAGGCTTCCTACTTCACTGAGAGTGTGAGAACCTGGCTTAAAAGGCACAGATACCATTATCCAGCCCCAGGGACTGCAAATTGGTGATAATTTGTCCCACCAGGTTATCAACATTTTAACCACTTGCTTAATTCTTC